ACGTATGGTCTTAGACTTAAGTATTCTTTATGTTAAGACCCCCTGGTTGTTTGTGACTCAGGCTGTATCTGTATGAACATTTATAGACCTATCGTAAGAGGACTTAATTGAGTTTGTCTATATTCTGCCAATATTTGGGAAAAAAATGCATCATTTCTACCTACATGTACATATACATGTATATAAGTCTTACCAATGTATTCGAAACTTTTTTTTATTTTCTTTGTTCTACAAATGATAAAGCCCGAGGAGTTCAAAGTAGCTCTGGCAGGGGTGTTGCTAAAACGCGGAACGGAAAACGGAACGCTGAGCGGAACGGAAAACAGAATGTATTTTTTTATATTAATCACTTAAAATGCACAATTTTTATCATAAACGTATTCATTTAAAAACCCCTATTATTTAAAATGGCTTCAGTCTCTTATTCACAATAATCGCGGACATAGCAATGACGTAGAATCAAATTTGAAAGTGTGTGTGGAGATTAAACTTACTTGAAAAGAGTTTAATAAGCAAAAAAGACATTTTTTTGTTCGTGAGGTGGGGGTATATTCAGTCTAAGTTCTAAATCCAACATCTTTCAGTACTCTTTTTTACAAACAACTGTAAATTTACAATATGGATTGCATTACAGTTACTGTTGGGTTTCGATGAACATTTCAATAGTAAAAAGGGCTGGAGCTAATAACAAAAGTGGAAGGGTGGACCTTTTGCAACTTTTCATACCTTTCGAAAGACTGGAAAATAAACTCAAATGTTTCACCATTCATATTCACCCTTCTCCCTCCCCCCAACCTTACATACGCACGTATGTACATGTTCCACATACAGTTTATAACTTTATTAAATGTCAAGATGCTACATTCTTAACACAGAAAAATTTTCCAACTTTATCAATCCAGAATTTAAATATATAGGAAGTTACTCTTTTTTGTATAAAATTTAAACAATAAATGAACTTTACAGGATAGTGGTTTTTATCCGAGCTTGCCCGAAAGGTATCCTCTAATCGTTATCTTGGCATTTTTTTTAACATTTTCATTCTCATTAAACATATCTCCCTTTTTCCAAACATTACCTTTTTACTATATTATGATTGATTGAAACCTCAACACTTTGTTAATTAAAATAGTAAGGAAGTGTACAAAAGATTATTGAAAGACATTGGAGTAGGACTGAATCCCCTCCCAATCCATATAACTGTGTTTTTTCGTTTGTCAAATTTTAATACCCCACCTCCCCCCAAAAAAAAAAAAAAAAAGGAGTTCAATTCTACTGATGCCACTGCTATGTCAGCAATTTTTGTGAATGAACGATATGGAGATTACAAGCAGTATTAAATATCAAAAGTCTATAAAACATTATAAAATAGAAAAACAAGGACCTCCAAAACGTAACGGGGGAATCAGGTATCATGAGGGAGTGAGCATCCCCTGCCAACTAGTCACCCCCGCCATGTATCCTTTGTCATGATCGGAATATAACGGGAAAATAGGTCGTCAATTCGGTGTATAAATAATGAACTTACAATAAGTATGAAAAATATTATTCAGCATTTGACTCAATGATAAATTGTATTTGCAGACAAGATCATTGTATCGACCCTTACGGAACGATGAACTGTAGATTATCGGCCGCAGCAGCGGCCGATTTACTTGTGGTTGTGTTAGAGAGTGCACATGGGGAAATAATATGTTATTTCATTAGTTTAGTAAAATAATTCTTAAATGATAACATGTATAAAATCATGAGAAAAATATTTTAAAAACTTTATTTAAATTAAGTTTTAATCGTTGTTATTTTGTTTCAATTTCATTATTATTAGGCATCAGTTAATTGATAATTTATGGTTAAATAACAAGTGTTTACAATAGGTACTCCCCATCCAGGAAGAGTGTAAGATACGAAAGGAAATCGTTATGATTTTCCGAATAATAATGGCGTGCACGTGGTAAAAGTGCATGGTGAATAAAAAAATTGAAAAGTTACTCTACTAGTAAAAACTTACAAGTTTGAAAATCCTACAGCTGCGAATGACACAAGGAATATTTTTATACATTTTGCACCGAGCCATGCAGCATAGCCTTATACTCTCCAGAAACCACATCGGCATTATCACTTGACAAATAACCAGGGTATCAGTACATGGTATATCTTGAAAGGCATACATCTTCATTTTGATGACAATAATTTCTCATATCATATTTTTTTGCAAATATATACATTTTATAAGCATTGAAAATGGGCTTTACCAATTTTTGTTGGTTTCAATTAGCCCACCCCCACCCCACGTTCGATTTGCTTCGGACGCCCATACATATTCCTAATAAACTTTTTTTACATCGAAAAATCCATCGGATGATCAGAAGCAAATGCACTAAATTTTTTTGTTTAAAATATTTTTTATTCATTGAATGGGATTGAACAGTAGGCATGCATATGATACTAAAATTTCTATCAATTTTTAAAAAAAATATTTATCTATTTTTGCTTTGGAGACGGCCTGAAATAAAAATGATCACTCGTTCAGCTTTGAATATCCTGTTCTTTTCTTGCATGAATGCATTAAATTGTGAAAGTACTTTTTTGACATGTTTAACTTGTATTCTTATGTAACGGGACTGTCTAGGGGTTAGTCCCGTATATACGTCTGTGTTCAGAAGGATAAAAGAATGACAAGAATTTCAGTGTTTAAGAAATAAGATTCTGTATTCTGTTGCAAATAACAATCAAGTAAATCAATTATTAAACAATATCATATAAATTCCATGAATAAGATACCATTATTGTATATGGAAATTTAGCCCAAGTCCCCAAAATACGCCTAATTGATGATTAATGATACTGCTGACTCCTCTTGATTACACAAATGTACATAATATATAAAAATAGTAAATAAGATATAAAAATAGTAAATCACGTATGGGTAGTAAAGACCCGAGAGCGAACAACCCGGACGGGTTATAAACAAAGGGGAATAACTCTAAGCAACAAATAATGACAAAAAGAGGGAAATATAATTAAAATATGGCATATATTTACATAAATGCACTGTAATCACATACACGTGCAATTAAATACACTTAAAAACCTTTACATTTATTTCATTAGCTTGTTTGTCAATTAAAAAAAGAGGTTGACCGTGACTAAATCAATTTATTTTTAATAATAGGGGATTGAATGTGTTTGAAATATATTGCTTATGACAAAATTTGTGTATTTTAAGTGATTTAAACTAAAATATATTCCGTTTTCCATTCTGTTCCGCGTTTTAGCAACACCCGCTCTGGTAGTAGTTCTGGTGAGAATTAGAGATATACTTGTTATATTATACAGAAATTTTGCATCTCCGCCATGAACACAGTCACATGCTTTGTATTACACACGCTAGATAAACACGCTTTCTTTCGACCTTTATCATAGACTTTATCACATCTTTCCGGAACATCTCTACTAATCATACGGAGTACTTCGGGTCGCTTTAATGTCATTTTCAATGTCGTATCATAACCCCAGGGGTAGAATCGAGCCACAATTAATGAAGGATCATTTTTTTACATAGGAATACATAGGGGGGGGGGGTCTTTTAAATTCTTCTTTTCAAGAACCAGTGGGCAAGGAAAGATGAAACTCATTTATAAACAACCTCTTGTAGTGAGATTCAAGTTTGTTCGATCATAAGCATAACCCCCAGTGGGAAGGGTTGGGCATTAAGCTAGTATGAATATTAAACATGAGAATATATAGGAAAAGTCTTTAAACTCTTCTTATTAAGAACAGAAAAGTCATAATTGTTCTTTGTTATACGGAAGCATTCTTTGATAGTGAAATTTCAAGTTCGATAAATCAAAACTCTTGGGGGTGAAGGAAGTGTGGGGTCACAAAGGGGTATAGAAGGTAAGCACAAAAATGCATAGGGAAGATTTTTTTTAAAATCTTCTCATTAAGAACAGCCAAGTCAGGATTATTCATAGTTATATGGAAGTATCATCTGCTAGTGTAGATTCATGACCCCTTGAGCAAGGATGGGGCCATAATAGGTGATCAAAGTATGATTACATAGAACAATATCTTTCAAATTTCACAGCTATGTTAATTCTACGCGTTCGACAACATATTATACTTTCCTTTACAATATGACGTCATAATGTAGTAAGCTATATGACGTGAACTTGAGGGATAACGTTTTCTTAAAATCTATAAAGATCAAGTTGTTGTCATAGAAATATATTGAATTGAAACATGCAAAGGATTAACATAGAAAAATCAAGTCGTCCGTGGGTGGTATAAATAGCTATGCATTTGTCACGGGGTTCAATACAAACCTATACATGTAACGTCATAACTCTTTATCAGTATTTTGCAGAGTGAAAATAAAAGGTATAACGAGAATCCAGTAAACAAACACAAGAAATCTGAGATTTATTAATAAAGCATTTAGTATGAGTATCATACGTGATTCATGCGGAAATAAAGCATATGAATAAGGCGTGCTAAAAAATTTCTGCGATTTTTTCGTAAAATAAAAGTAGATTTTTATTTCCCGATCAGGCTTTCTTTGGTCATTCGAAATAAAAAATGAAAAAGATGCAAAAGTTCAACACTACACCGCATACTTTGAAACATAATTTTTGTTTATATCAAAAACTCCCATTCTATTTTTTTTTTCGGAAAATGCTGCTTAAATCGTATTGGTAATTGATTTTAATGACATTTTTTCTATCTTTTGTAGGAATTTTAAAATAAAATGTTAGATTATAAAAATTTGTTTAATTCATTTTGTGCATTGGATTTTGGTAGGGATAACATCCTGAAAGTTTCAAATAAATCAATGTTATAATCATGATAATTTGAATACATTCTATTCTTATGAATAGCTCTTTATAAATTGAGCAAAGTAAAGAATTTTATTGAATTTACATTAATTCTTATTTTCCATGTTTGTTATAATTTTATAATTGATATACGTTGTAAGGCAGACTACATTTATTATATTGTAGACTATTTTGTTTTCTGGATAAAGTCTATCCACACTTACTGTAGTTCTAACATTGACAAAGATTCTAAACCAACCGTACTTATCGTGGCGACTCATTGGGAAAAAGAACACAGACAGTATCAGGTAAAATCGTTAGGAATTATGTATAACAAGATATGTTTGTACAACACTGATGCCCCCGATGGCAACATAGTAAAGATTAAACTTTTCTTAGAAGTTAATTTAATATAATTGTACCCGAAGTAGAGTCTCCTAACTGGAAATGCAATTGTAAAATATGAAAGCCCTATCCCCATCTGTTCCCAAGTTATGGTCAGGCTAAAGTTTGATCATAAGTATATAAATCTTCAAGATCAATGTCAAAAGGTCAAGGTTATTGGTATCCAAACAATGCTCTTGCTACAAAAAAAAACATACATGAAATATGGAAGGTCTAGCCTTAACTGTTAAAGAGTTATGGCCAAGGTTAAGATTTTTTAAAGTAGGTCAAACTCTACGAGCAAGGTCAAGGAGGCAAAGGTCTTGATACCAAATAAAGGGTCTTGTAACAAGAATTACAATGTGAAATATGAAAGCACTAGCTCTTACCCTTTAAAAGATAGCATGAAGGATTATTTTTTAAAAGTAGGTCAAAGTCCAAGGTCAATGTCAAAGGGTCAAAGCTCTTGGTATCCAATGAAGCGTCTTATTACAAGGATTACATATTTGAGGTATGAAAGCTCTAGCCCTTTCCGTTCAAAAGTCATTGCCAAGGTTAATGATTTATCATTAGTACGTAAATCTCCAAGGTCAAGGCAAACGGTCAAGTTTGGTGGTATCCAGTGAAAGGTCTTACCACAAAAAATATATATGTGAAGTACAAATGTCCTGTTATCTACCGTTTAAAAGTTATGGAAAAAGTAAAAATTTGCATTTTTTCTGTAAAAGTGTGTCAAATTCCAAGGTCAATGTCCAAAGGTCAAATTTGGTTGTACCGAAAGAAAGGTCTTTCACAAGGAATACACATGTGAAATATGATATTCAGAGCTCCACTAAATCAAATGTTATGGACAAGGTTACAGTTTTTGCTGACAAAGAGACAAACAGACAGACAGACGGACTCGACAAAAACTTCGTTTACGGGGGCAGAATAATTTAACTTATTTATTTAATATTAGTTTAAGGGTATGTCGTCTGAAAAGGATTAAGAATGAAATATCTTGATAATTAAGAATCAATTTAATAACAATCGAAATAATTTAGGAATTGTTTACTTTCACTAAAAATATTCTCCCCTAGATTAAATTGCAGGTAGTCTTTATTCAATTATGTTATGTTAAGAACAAGTTATTTTTATTCGCCTTACTACATCAGTACTAGGTTCTTTTTTCCATTAAATGAACCTAGATAAATATGATTCAGGAAAAAAATAGTAAAATATGACGTGATTTCTCTTTACAGGATAAAAATGCTCTTTTACACATCTTGCAACAAAAACTTCCGAAAGAGTCCAATTTTTCACAGTACATAGTAGAGAAAAACTGTTACTGTACTTACTTCCCTGATGAAACACTTCATGATCTGCAGCAACATATTTTTGACATAGCATCTCATCAGCGATGGAAAGAAAATATTCCTAAGGAGTGGGTCTTCTTTGAAATAGAAATGAATCAGAAGAAAGAATCAGAGAGGATTTTAGACATTGAAGAGTTAACAACAAAGCTTAACGATGGCAATGGCGAACAGGAAGAGGAATTGAAATTAAAGAAGGATATGTTACGATATTACCATGACGCGGGGAAGGTTCTGTATTTTAATGAGGAGGGACTTAAGCAATATGTCATTATTGATGTTCAGTGGTTTATTGACGCTTTCAAACACATCCTCACTGACAAACTTCATTTTCAAGGTATTCCTGCTGCACAAAAGGATTGGGATGAATACTACAAGACAGGGAGTTTAAGGGACGGACTTCTGACGGAGATCTGGAAACATAAAGATAAGTTGACAGAATCAGGTACTGAAGAATCCGATTCCGACTTTGAAGATGATCCTAGATATCTACTCTATCACAAAGATAATCTACTCAATTTCATGCAAAGACTTGGTTTGATGGCAGTTGGTGAAGAATCCCATTATGTTCCGTGCATGAATCGGAAAGAAATAGAATCTGCTGTTACTGATCAAATTCAAAAGTCGGACAGTAAAACATCTATACTTATCTACAGATTTAGCTTCTTACCTTTCTTCCTTTTTTTCCGTCTCGTTGTTTCTTGTATGCAGTTAGAGGGTTGGGAAGTACGTATGACTAATGAAACATCATGTCTGTACAGAAACGCCGCTTTGTTTTCTGTTAATGAATACAATGTCGTCCTATCTGTCACAGAAACATCAATACAGTTACAAGTATTTCACCATGTTAAGGGACGCTCGTTAAGAAAAGATGAAACTTGCAAAATTCAGGAAACTATC